TTCACATAACTGAATCAGCAATCGTCCTGTTTTAAACTTTCAACAATATTAAACACAATCTTGGGGACTTCCTGTTTTCGATCTCAATTTTCAGACAGTTCCTGCTGAAACACTCGGCTCTGCAGAAACTGGAACCTCGGATGGGTTCAGTTTTAGCAGGAATGAGGAAGAGGGAACAGCTTTCACAGGCTGAGCTGTGAATATGGGATGTTATGGTTATTCAAACTAAAGTCAGTGAGCTGGAGCCACAGAAGAAAACTTGGACAAAGATCAGAGTTAACAGCCTGTGCTGAAGGATCAGACCCTTCAAACATCACCATTGAAGGAGTTTGGTGCTGACAGTGGAATTATCCAGGAGAGGGCACACGTGGTCAGACTGTCCAGGCAAACAAAGAGTCCTGGTCCCAGGTTTGACCTGGACTCACCTGGGCATGTACTCCAAGTGGGAGTGGACCTGGTAGAGCCAATCACCATTTGCAAACTCTTCAGTGGAAGTGATATCAGAGGTTGTTTCCTGTCCATTTCTCAACCAGCTCACTTTGATCAGTTTAGGGTAGAAGTCATAGACGCTGCAGACCAACATGGCAGGATGGTGATAACCAGGAGCCATCGTGGAGTGAAGTCTGACTGATGGTTTCACTGGAACATCAGGAGGAGGAGGAATGTTTTTACTTCATTCAAAGTTAAAACTGCAACACAATAAAGCTGAAGTGACTTTATAAATATAACAAGCCTGAAATGGCTACAGAACTACAGAGATTATGTAGTTTTAACTGAATGTATCAGATTAAACCTTCAGCAGTGTTAACTTTAAACTATGTGCAGAGAGTTCAGTCAGGAGTTGTGTTGTCAATGATGGCATCATGTGATGAGGTTTATATGACAATCTGATGATGTCACAGAAATACAGACTCACCTGATTTAGAAAGAACATTTGCGTACCAGAGGTCAGTGTTGTGTTGGCAGTACGTCTCCTTCTGAGCTCTCATTTGAGCAAGTATTGCCTGATCTTTGTTCCAGTATTCTGCCTCCTTTATACCAAACTCAGTGTATCCAACAAACCTCCCCACATCGCTGCTGAACCTGACATGCTCTATCTTGTTGTAATAGTAAGATCTGATGAACTCGATGTCCTGCAGCTCAGTGGAGTTAAACAGGCAGCGAGTTGAAGAGTAACACTCATATCCATCTGAAACACAAAGATTAGAGAATCACTCTCGTGTAGTAGTCTGGGAAACCTTTAAGAGCAGGTTGTTGATATGATATCATCATCATATCTTCACCTTAGTTAGATCATTAAGCTTACCAACAGAGTATCAATTCAATTTCATATACATAAAAATGATTCACAAAAACACCAAGATCCTATAATATTAGAGAGGTAACCCCAGCAATCTTAAGATGTGCAAAGTTGGGAACAGTGGAAGAGAGAGAAACAACCAACAGAACCAGGATCAGGAAGAAGCACTGCCATGGCTGGTTATGGTAAAGAAGAACAAAAAAGGAGAACCAAGACAGATGAGACAAAACACAAACTACAGGAGATAGTTTAATGCACAAGTGAAAGAAATGGGAATCCCCCAGTAGCCTAAGTTCTATTGCAGCATAACTAAGGGAGGATTCAGGGTCACTAGGGTCCAGCCCGAATTTTTACTTTAGCAAAAAGGAAAGTGCTAATAATATTCTCAATAGTGGGCCTGATTATTCAAATATGTATGCAAGGAGAAGCATTTTAAATTTGGAGAAACCAGAATGGGTTACATAAATATTAATGTGTGCATTGAAGGATATATAAAAATGTCAAGAGTCCTCGAAGTGTTACTGGAGAAAAACCCTGTCCAGTATTTCGTTAGACACCATGTTTCAGAAGTTTTTGTGAGGTCCAAATATGACGACCTCAGTTTGTCTGAATAAAGGACAACACATCCACGTGTTTATGTCTTTAATACATACCTGTGTGTTGCAGCAACATTTCAAAACAATGTATTTTGGTTAGTTAGTAACGCGTGATGGTCTAATGTGTAAATGCAATGTTGCAGAAAAGTCTCTGTGTGACTGGATATTAAATAGTGTTTGCAGTGAGACCCTGAATAGGAATATGTAGAATAAGGACACAGATCTTCTGCATATAAACTGACATTTACCTTCATTCGTGTAGGATGTACAGTTAAAAATCAGATGTACAGTTAAAAAGCAGAGAACTGTGTAGTCTCACTGTTTGTGTAAGTACAGTTAAGAAGAAGAGATGTTAACCACTTCTCACTTTATTTCATGAGTCATTTGTTCTAGTGCCTTGTCTTTATTTTTACTTCCCCTCTCATTGTATAAACTACATGTACTCAGTGTTCCATATTAGGACCATTGCTTTTTCTCTCTCTACAAAAATAACCTTTTTGAAAATTTATCAAATGCTATATTCCATCTTTGTGCAGATAACACAATTATCTATTGTTTAGATACTTCATTAATAGAAACTCTTTAATTTCCTTAAGCTGCCTTTGATGTTGTTCACTTCCATTTTTCTCTCCATACACCCTAAAAAATGCTGGGTTATTTTCATAACTCCACTTCTGGGTAAAAGCCGTAGGTTCATAAGTTGGGTTATTGTGACCAAATGTTGGTTCAAAAGTCATGACTCAAGAGTTAGGTTGGTGATGTGCTGGGTTCTTCAATTCCCTCCACAGCTTGACTAATTCTGTTGGGTCATAGGTTCGGCAGCTTTGATAAAATATTGGGTCAACATTTTACCCAGTTGTTGGGGTTGAAGATAAGCCTCAGAAGTCGTCACAAACTGCCTGTGACTTGAGCACATATCACTGGACTACTTCTCCACTACTATGATATAAAATATGGTAAGTAAAAAGTGAATTATAAAATTTTTAAAATCATAGGGTTATTTTTGATAATGCAATTTATTGGTTTATTTTAGAACTGTACCTACTCATTAAAGGTATTTTAACAGATAACACCAGCTAGCTTGGGATGAAGAAAGTTATTTCTACTTAAAAATGCTTGATATTATCTTTTGAAGTTATTATTTGAAATGAGGCTGAGGAAATGAAGCTCCACATTTGACCCAGTGTGGCGTTACAGATTTGGTCATTTTTAACCCAGCATTTTTTATGGTGTAAGTTCGAGTTAAATGCAGACATATACAAGCTCATGTTGTTTTCAAAGTGCAAAGGCTGTTAGCTATGTTTCATAAGATTAAAACCATTCAAGGGACTGAAATTAAAATGGTTACATCTAATAAGTATCTAAGTATCATTATAGATCAGAATTTGTCATTTAAAACTCACGTTCAAGGGCTTGTTTCTTTTTTGGGCATTCTTTTTTCGTTCTTTCTATAGGTGAGGAAAAACTTGATTTCTGTAACTTTTTTCCCTTTATTGGATTCTGCTTTTACAAATGCACCTGCTTAGTACTTGAAGAGGTTGGAGACTGTTTACAATTGTGTTTGACATTTTATTAATGGTTGTGGAACTTGACTACATCACTTTTCTCTGTATGCTGCTGATAAATGTCCACTTCTGTATATCTGCAGACTTTCACATTGGTTGTTTTTTTATCTATAAATCTCTCCTTGGGCTGGTTCCCTCTTATCTGTGCGTGTGTATATGGGTAAGAACCACAACCAATACAGCCTTTGTTCTCGAAAATCATATAATTAATTGTCCTGAAAATAAGAGTAGAATTAGGGGAAAACGTCTTTTTCCTAATTGTAGGATGCCCTTGTTTCCTGGAATAATCTGCAGAAGGAGCTGAAATTGTGAGAAATGGTTACCCTGCAGGAGTTTAAGTCAGTTTTAAAGGAACAAGAGAATAACTCTTTTAGTCAGTGTGACTGGTTTCAATTGTCACTCTTAATGATGTGCTATTGTTAAAGTTTCACCTGTTTGTATAGAATATTGTATTTGTTTTAAATTGTTGTTATGTGTTGTATTTGTTTTTACTTTTGGCACCATGATGCCAGGCCTCTCTTACAAATGAGATTTTAATCTCAGTGAGATAAATAAAGGCTTAAATGTTAAATACATGGCATGCATGACTGAGTCTAACCGTTACTTTTATAATTGATTTAATACGAGCAAAGTAAAATGAAGCAGCAAAATGATCTTTCTGAAATTATTTGTTTTATTCAGCAGTTTAATAAGTAGACTGATGGATGAATTCATTAATCCAGCTGTGATGCTGTAAAGCTTAATGATAGCTGAAACAGTGAACTTCAGCCCTGAGAGGCAAACGGGGATCATCACAGGTGATGGTCACAAACAAAAATGCTGCTGTGCATCAACCACAATAAAAATAATATCACATCTCATCCTTCACTTTCCTTTAATCAGCGAACACTCTGTAACTGTGACTGATCATGTGTTTGATTAGTGTATTGATCTTACCTGCTGTGCAGATGTTGATGAAGAGAAGCGTGAAGCATAAAAACATTGAAGCCATGTTCCTGAGTTCTCCTGGCCAGCTCTGACACAGTCTGACTGAGAGCTGCTGTAAAGATCAGAGTGCAGGGTCACGTGACCACAGCATCAGCTGTTACCAGGAAGAAATTGCTCAAATATTTTATTAGTGTTGCGAAATCAGTTTTACCCCGGTTCTTTTATTCCTCGAAGCTTCCAGAGACGGCACCGGAACTCAGTAGTTATTTCACAAAACCTTTATTCATCTTTATTCATCTTCATTTAAGCATGCACTTCTAGAAGGGAAGACGAGGCCGATGTCCCTCTGCAAAATCTTCACCCCTTTGTTAGTTACAGCCAGCTTTATAGAAGCGACCCCATCATCAAACCCCCATGGTGTGCTGCAAACTCTGTGTCTGTGTGTATGCACGAGCACATGTGTGCACGTATCCGTATGCCTATGTGAGTGCACGTGAGTGACTGAGTGTATGCGCATACCTGTGTGTATGTGTGAGTGCACGTGACTCCCTGCCGGTCATAAAAGTCCATCTCCCTTCCAGACCACAGTTATCCAGTTACAAATGTTGAGACTCCCACCCAGGTATCCTCTGGGGAATTTCCACTCAGCATTAACTCCTCTTTGTCTTACTTTTACAGTTCAATTGGGGGAGGGTCTCCTACAATCTACTCCTAAGTTCATGACACAGTCAGGCCTTTATTTATATCCAGGGCAGTGTCAGTGTCTCACAATTCTATATCCTATCTAACACATTCCTAAACTCTAAAATAAGATAAACATTCCTACATTAGGTTTTTATCAAATTATGCAAAAAACCAAAAACAATATTTTGTTATATTGTTTTGACAGTTCAGGATGTGCCCTGCCTTTAAATAGGCTCTAGTTTCTCTGTGATGCTAATTGGATAAGCTGAAGAGAATGGATAGATGTTGTTAGTTATAAATCAAAAACTCCTAAATGTGTGAAACTATTTCAAATTATTGTGATTACTGAGAGTTTTAATCAGATAGTTGGTTTAATTGCTGTGATTTGGTAAAGTTTACAGTGATCAGCTATGTTGGACTGGTACAGAGCAGCTGTGGTGTTCATGGTCAGTGTGATGCTACATGAAGGGCAGCAGATATTTATATTTGATGTAATGATGCTGAGTAAATTCTCTCACTGAATTTGACCTTTTACGCTAGCTTTATAAAGTCTAGTGGTTGAAAATTGGTCGGGTAACTTGTGAAGCATCAGCTTATGCCTTGTTGTATTCAGTTTAATCTGCCGATCAGCTGATAAAGAAGCAAAATCTACTAGAGCTCAAAATGCAGGTTTTTATTTGACTCATCTCTAAGTGACTGTTTTCTCATCTCCACCATTGCAAATGATCCAACCTTGGGTTGTTAGACCCCAATAACACTGGACTAGTTCACCAATGACAATAAAGGAGCTCTCTACATATCACACCTTTAAGGAACATCTTATAAAACTGGTCTGAAAGAAAGAAAGAAAGAAGGCGAATGGATTACCTTCCACCGGACTCCCCAACCAGTAACTTACACGTGAAATGAACTCTGCACTCAAACATCCACCAGCACCAGCAGAGCTCAAATGTATCTTCAGTCAGCCCGAATGTTTCATTTTGTATTTAAATGAATCACTCAGAATCTGTTTTTGGCTTTTTTAACAAGGTGGACTTATAAATCAATAAATAAATCAATAATTATTGATCACAGTTAAATAAAGTGTAGTTTGAAGGCAGAAAACTTATTCTGAGCTCTTAGTGAGAATTCAAAAACAGGGCTTTTCAGTATTTCCTTCATCTGAGCTCAGACAGACCAAACTGCCTTCTGTTCCAGCATTCAATGACACAACACTGAATCGGGGAATCTTTGCACTCTGACTGGTTGTTGTAGAAGAACATCTTATAGTGAAATCACATTTTATCATCAATAATTAATTATAGGTTTGTAGCTTGAACCTATTCGCTGGAACGTTGAAGACAATATAATTACACAGCAAAAGCATTGAACACCAAGTAGGCAAAGTTCTTCGTGTTACTCATGCATGAGGGAGACCTGCCTGGAGTCAAGTGTCGTTCCACCACTTGACCCCCGTCAGACTCTCAGCCAGGTTCCCCATAGCACTCCTTTTATTGAGGTGACATGAATATGCATAGGGTCATTAACATATGACGTCTACATACAAACAAAGAGTACCTTGCCTGTGCTTTGTGTAAGTGTGTGTGGGGTCAGAGTGTGACCCCATAAATGACTTCCCTAAACCTGCTGGTTTGGAAGTCCAACAGTTCATCTAAACAAAAGGCACTTAGCCTAAAACAGATACAGCCACGTTTATCCTACCATAAAACAATAAAACAACGACCTCTTCCCATGCTCCCAGGATGTAGGTGTGCATTCCAGTGTGGAATACACACCAAGCGTTTGCAGCCCGCTAAAGATCACACATCCTATCACTACACAATTGATTATACACCTCTAAGAATATATGGTTAAATATTTCTAAGCATAAATGACAATCAACAATACAAAACCTAACAATTACAACAATAAATAAAAACATGATAACAACGATCCAGCTCGCACTGGAGCGGTTCGCAGCTGAGTGTGAAGCAGCGGGAATGAGGAT